GGGGGGGGGGGGAGGGGTTGATCCCCATCATCTCCAGCAGCACCCCCAAAATATCCCCAGTAATGTGGGGTGCCTGCAATGCGAATCAGCCTCAGGACAGGTGTCTGTCCTTCCATTTAGACTGCACCCAAGTCCCTCCTTCCTGTGCTGGAATCTGGACTGCCCTCTGCTGATGCCCCAGCTGCCCCAGTCACCACTGCCTGGAGTCTACGCCCAGTGCCGTAGACTTGGTTCCAAAGGGCTTTCGAGAAGCTCACAAAAAACTGCTCCCTGAATCCTTGAGGATCTAAAGGTAGAATTCGGGCCCCTCCCTGGACGCCCATCTCCTGTAGAGACAGGACAGGAACACCTGGGGGTGGTGGGTGGGAGGGTCCTTTAGTAAGAGAAATGACCCAGGCAGGGATGTGAGTCTGGAGAGGACAGAATAGGTGCCTGACAGAGTCTGGGGAGGGAGAGACCTCCGTTTATTCATTTCATTAAATAAATATTAACTGAATGTCCTCTATGGACCATGGACCATTTTAGGACCGAGTCCTCCGGTGGAGAGGGGGGATCTGGCCTTGGGGCAGATCCGGGCAGCGCCAGGCAGCCCTAGGCTCCCTCTGTCCCCCTCAGGCCTTGCAAGCCCGAGCCGAAGGATATCCCGCCTCCCCCAGGGCAGCCTCAGCACGGGGGCATGCATCCAGCCTGTCCCCACAAGTGCCTGCTCAGCTTCACATGGGGCTTGAGTCCAGCCAGGCGGGGCCAGGCAACCAAGGGGCTGAAATTCAATCTCAGTGGTGGTTTGTGCGTAACTACGGCTCTTTGCCGCGGGGAAACCTGGCTGTGATGGAGGAAGAGAGAAAGTGACCTTTCTTGCCATCTCCCCTCATGACTAGAAGTGCGGACACACGTTTTGGTGTCTCCTGGGGGAGTCCAACCTTGACCGAGGCCAGCAGCCTCTGGGTCTGGACCAGGGCTGGTAGCAGACAGTCTGTTCCAAGAGGCAGACCCCTGGTGGGAAACCAGACGCGGTGCGAGAACAGGCAGCCGCTGCCGAGCAGACTGACGAGGGCCAGGCCTCCGCAGGCGTGGGCACCGAGGTCAGACCCCCGGCTGGCCATTTGCGGCGGCCAGACCTCTGGACGGGCTTTGTTCCTCAAACCGTTTCCTGTTCTGAACGGGCCGCATAGTATCTATGGCACTGGGTAAAGACTACCGCCCCTGGCCACGGGTGAGCTCAGCAATATCTAGTTCCTTTCCTTTGCTAGCCACACACGTGCATGCACACACACACACACACACACACACACACACACACCATAATCTGCACCGATCTACTGGCCAGGAGGTTGGGAGGCCACTCCCCTGTGGATGGGATGGAGGGCTCATCGTTATTTGAGAAAGGAGTCCTTCCTGAGGATTGCCCAGGGGAGGAAATGAAGGCCTCCCCACATTTCCAGTGCTGAAGATCCACGCTGAAGTCTAACCAGCACCTGCCGATCAGGGGCTTTCTTTACTATCTTTACTAGCATCTTGTCCCTGGCCACACGATCCGCACCCCCCCCCCC